CGGTATATAAATAAAGATTACTTACTTACTTACTTACTTACTTCAATCCTAATCCTGTGAGATCTGAGTTCTGCCTTTGACACTGTCGACCATGAGATCCTCTTACAGAGATTAGAGGACTGGGTTGGAGTCGCTGGAACCGCCCTAAGTTGGTTTAGGTCTTACCTTGAGGACAGGAAGTACTTTGTGGAGATTGGAAACTGTGTCTCAGATCATATGCCACTGACCTGTGGAGTACCACAGGGGTCGATTCTGGGACCTCTTCTGTTCAATCTCTACATGCTGCCGTTAGGTCAGTTAATACGCAGAAACAAAGTGTCCTATCACAACTATGCAGACGACACTCAGATCTATGTCTCACTGACTGCAGGAGAACATGGACCAGTGGACTCACTCCTTCACTGTATCCAACAGATCAGTGAGTGGATGCAAAACAACTTCCTTCAGCTAAACGCAGACAAAACTGAAATGATTGTCTTTGGTCCCCAGAAACAAAGAGAGAGCGTCATCTGTCACCTACAGTCTCTCTCCCTAAAACCTTCAAACAAGGTCAGAAATCTAGGGGTAATACTGGACTCAGACTTAAATTTTAATAGCCACCATCTAAAAAACATTGCCAGGATCAAAAACATAGTGTCTAAAGCAGACCTGGAGATTCTTATCCATGCATTTGTCTCCAGTAGGTTAGACTACTGCAATGGCCTGCTCACAGGTCTCTCCAAACAGGCTGTAAAACAGCTGGGCTAATAAAATCGGCGATGAAGACTATTCCTCTCACACCCATATTAGCTAGATCTAGAGTCCCGTCCAACATTCTAAACCACTGCCCATATGTACCTCCAAAACCACCTAGGGTTTCCAATTCACCTACAAAAACCACCTCAGCCAGTCCCTCCCCTAACCTCATGACCATTCCACCCCCACTTCCCCCTCGTTCAACACCCAAAACCTCTGCCTCAGCCCACCCCGGCCCTAACCCATCACCAAAAACCCCTCCACCTCCCTGCCCCCCTCGTTCAACACCCAAAAGCCACCCACCTCTCCATCCTCCTCCCCCGCCTTCCCCCTCCCCTCTTTTCTCTAAACACTAGGATGCACAGGGTCTCTGCTTCGCAGCCACTGGCAGTCTAGTTAGAGGAGAGACCCGGCTGGGGCCCTGTCATGAAGCCACCTGTGCCATTCCCTTAGTGATAACACAAAGAATACATTACAGAAAAACATCTGGAGTTAATCAGTCTAATCTGGAAAATCTAATTCTTGTTTCGTGTAAGAATCAGCCGACCACAACCGCTGATAGTGAAACTTTGAAACTTGCTACGCTTAATGTCAGATCTCTTTGTAACAAGTCTTTTTTAATCAATAATTTTATTTGTTCTCATAATCTTGATCTTATGTTCATGGCTGAAACTTGGCTTGACCAAAATTCAGGAAATGCAGTTTTAATAGAAGCATCACCACCAAATTTCAAGTTTGAATCTGAAATACTGGAAAACAAAAAAGGAGGAGGCTTAGCTGCCATTTTTAGAGACCACTTTGTCTCCCATAGAATGTCTCTTGGGAAGTTTTTGTCATTTGAATATGTGTCTTTTAAAATACAACAAAAACAATCTCCTCCAATACTCTTCATTGTCCTATACAAGCCACCACAGTCATGTCACAGTTTTATTGATAATTTTACCGAGTTGCTTTCAGTTGTATGCACAGATTTTGATAGTTTGGTTATTACAGGTGATTTTAATATTCATGTGGATAATGTTGATGACAGAAATGTAAATGAGCTGAGTTCTGTACTTGAATCCTTTGATCTCACTCAGCACGTAAGTGGCCCCACCCACAGCAGAGGGCACACTCTAGATCTGTTAGTTACTAAGGGGGTGAATATTTCAAATGTAAACGTGGTCGATGTTGCTCTTTCGGATCATTTCTGTGTTTTTTTTGACATGTGTTTCACTAACAAACCACCAGTGGACTCTGCAACTGTTCGAAGAAGGCGCATAAATGAAAATACGAGTGAACTATTTATGGGAATGATAAACTTTGAGAATGCATCGTATTCTACTGTAGATGAACTGTTTAACTCTGTCACCTCTAGTGTTTTGAATGTTCTGGATACCGTTGCCCCTGTGAAGGTTAAAATAGTGAAAAATAAGCAGAAGGCGCCGTGGGATAAAGCAGACTCGGTCAGGGCACAAAAGAGAAAGTGCCGGAGGGCCGAGTGGAAGTGGCGCAAGTCCAACCTCCAGGTTGATTACGAGATCTTCAAAGATAAGTTGTGCGAGTTTAACCGGGTGCTACGTAGTACGAGAGAAAGGTATTTTTCTGAAATGATTGAAGGCTGCAGCAACAATCTGCGTGTTCTGTTCTCAACAGTTAATAGATTAACAAACCCCCCTGTTCAAATGCCATTAGAGCTTACTTCCAAACGTAAATGCAATGAGTTTGCTCATTTTTTCAATGACAAGGTTCAAGGCATCAAAAACGCTATTGTCTCCAATCCACAGATAACTCACTTTGCACCTGTAAATGATAAAACTGTCCAAGAGATAATCTCCAGTTTGAGCTCCTCCACATGCAGCTTGGATGTACTACCCACTAGATTTCTGAAGTCTGTTCTGAGCAGTCTGTTACCTTCACTCACACAGATAGTAAACATGTCCCTTCATTCTGGAATATTCCCAAAGGCCCTGAAAACTGCAGTCATCAGGCCCCAGCTAAAAAAGAGCAGTGTCGATGCTACGGTACTTAACAACTATCGTCCCATCTCAAATCTGCCATTTATGGGGAAAGTCCTTGAGAAAGTTGTCTACCTACAGCTTACTAGATTTCTTATAATCAACAACTCATTTGATATGTTTCAGTCCGGCTTAAGACCCCACCACAGCACTGAGACTGCTCTCGTTAAGGTTACAAACGATATCCGGCTGAACACTGACGCAGGCAAAGTCTCAATCGGGCGGCACGGTGGCTGAGTGGATAGCACTCTCGCCTCTCAGCAAGAAGGTCCTGGGTTCAAATCCCGGCCGGACCAGGGCCTTTCTGAGTGGAGTTTGCATGTTCTCCCTGTGTCTGCGTAGGTTTCCTCCGGGTACTCCGGTTTCCCCTACCACTAAAAAAATATGTACAATAGGATTGGCATGTGCCTCCTGTTCGGCGACCCCGCTCCCATCTCTGTGTGGAGTGAGAGACAAGTGCCCAAAAATAACAATTGTAAACCGCTTTGTGACTCTGGTCTGTGAAAGGCGGTATATAAATAAAGATTACTTACTTACTTACTTACTTACTTCAATCCTAATCCTGTGAGATCTGAGTGCTGCCTTTGACACTGTCGACCATGAGATCCTCTTACAGAGATTAGAGGACTGGGTTGGAGTCGCTGGAACCGCCCTAAGTTGGTTTAGGTCTTACCTTGAGGACAGGAAGTACTTTGTGGAGATTGGAAACTGTGTCTCAGATCATATGCCACTGACCTGTGGAGTACCACAGGGGTCGATTCTGGGACCTCTTCTGTTCAATCTCTACATGCTGCCGTTAGGTCAGTTAATACGCAGAAACAAAGTGTCCTATCACAACTATGCAGACGACACTCAGATCTATGTCTCACTGACTGCAGGAGAACATGGACCAGTGGACTCACTCCTTCACTGTATCCAACAGATACAGTGGATGCAAAACAACTTCCTTCAGCTAAACGCAGACAAAACTGAAATGATTGTCTTTGGTCCCCAGAAACAAAGAGAGAGCGTCATCTGTCACCTACAGTCTCTCTCCCTAAAACCTTCAAACAAGGTCAGAAATCTAGGGGTAATACTGGACTCAGACTTAAATTTTAATAGCCACCATCTAAAAAACATTGCCAGGATCAAAAACATAGTGTCTAAAGCAGACCTGGAGATTCTTATCCATGCATTTGTCTCCAGTAGGTTAGACTACTGCAATGGCCTGCTCACAGGTCTCTCCAAACAGGCTGTAAAACAGCTGCAGTACATTCAAAATGCAGCAGCTCGAGTCCTGACTAGAACCAGGAAGTACGACCACATTAGTCCAGTTCTCAGGTCTCTGCACTGGCTTCCTGTGGCTCAGAGAATAGACTTTAAAACAGCTCTGCTTGTGTACAAGTCTCTCTATGGCCTCGCACCAAAATATATTAGTGACATGTTAGTCCCATATGAACCAGCCCGGACTCTGAGGAGCACAGGGACTGGACTCCTGTTAGTGCCCAGAGTCAAAACTAAACATGGGGAGGCTGCTTTTCAGATTCATGCTGCTAAAATCTGGAACAGTCTTCCTGAAGATGTGAGACAGGCCTCCTCAATGACAATGTTTAAAACCAGGTTAAAGACAGTTCTGTTTAGCTGTGCATACAACTGAGGGATTTTATATTTTTATCTTTCTTTTTAATGTTCTGTGATTATTTATGATTTTAATGCTTCCTTGTTTTGTTCAGCACTTTGAATTGCCTTGTGTATGAATTGTGCTATATAAATAAACTTGCGACAAAAAATAAATAAGGGGGCGACAGTAGCTCAGTTGGTAGAGCCTTGGCCTTCAGGCCTGAAGGTCGTGGGTTCAATTCCCACCTCTGCACCTTCTCCACCGACTCCCACTGATGACTGCTGTCGTTGTGTCCTTGGGCAAGACACTTAACCCCACTTTGCCCAAAGCCCCCACTGAAAGATCAAGGCTATGCTCACACTCAGAGAGCAGCCGTCCTCCTGTGGACTCACCACCTGCAGAGGGTCAGTGAGGGGCTGGTGCTATGAGACTTGGGTGGCATCTCTGACTGCCACCCCCCTGACCCAGAAATGGATTAAAGGGTAGAAAATGGATGGATGGATGGATGGAAATAAACTTGCCTTGCCTTGCCTACTTTCGCAAGGCACTGTAGCTTCAGAGGTCTGATGGGATCTGGCTTTCATATGCAGGTATGGCACAACCTTCGACTATGGACTTTTGTGTGTGCGTGCGTGTGTCAGAGAGAGGGCGAGTTGGCTGTGTCCTACCACTGTGCTGGCCTCGGAGTCCTGGCTCGTGCTCCGTGTGAGGATGGGAGGCTCGGAGCTGGTCACCGACTCACTATCGCTCTTCTGCACAAGAAAATACAGTCAGGAACGGCACCCTTTTATAAAAAAAAACAAAAAAAACCTCAAATTTGGCTAAATGTATCTTAATTTGAGCACATTTTAATTGCCTTAAAACAAGATTTCCCAATGGTACAAAGCAAAAGTATCTTGTTTTAAAGGAATAGTTCACCGTTTTTACATACTGACATATGTTCTTACCTTACCTTAGACTAGTTAATACGTACCTGTCTGGTCTTAGTCCGTGCGCTCTGTCATGCAAACGGAGCAAAAACGGGAGCACAACCGCAGCCTCCTCTGTATATTTTGTAGCACCAAAAGGTAGCTCCCGCTAGAAGCTACCAAACTCTTCCAAGTGTTCCCTATTAAATGTATATAGTTACGTGACGTGTTACACTGCAAAGTATAGTAACACAGAAATGTAACTGTCGATTTTCTCAGCGGATAAAACGGGTACTATATTGTGAGGCGTAGTAATCTGAGGTGCGCTACGTCCGCGCACTAACTTCTCTCCGGAGACTTCTCTCTCGCTCACTTCCGTCAATAGAAGCAGCGTGACTTGTAGTACACACAGTAGCAGCGAGAGAGAAGTCTCCGGAGAGAAGTTCGTGCGCAGAGAAGTTAGGAGCGCTACGTCCGCGCACTAACTTCTCTCCGGAGACTTCTCTCTCGCTGCTACTGTGTGTACTACAAGTCACGCTGCTTCTATTGACGGAAGTGAGCGAGAGAGAAGTCTCCGGAGAGAAGTTAGTGCGCGGACGTAGCGCACCTCAGATTACTACGCCTCACAATATAGTAGGGCTGGGCGATTAATCGATTTTAATCATTAATTCGAGTTTTACGTTTAGGGCGATTTTTTGTTTTTTAAATTCGATTTTTATTTTCTCCAGCGCAGAACTACAGCGCTAACGCGCTAACCGCGGGTCTATGGTGTTGAGCAGTCATTTTGAAGCTAACCTAATGCTAACAGTCTCCCTCTGGCCTGATGCTCGCTCTCACAGTTGGTGCTGTTGCAATAACACTTCCAGACTTTATTTAATCGCCAAAACACACACACACACGCACGCAGGTTCCGGTCGCTATGTTCGTACGCCACATCTTTCACGCGATCCGCTCGTTATTCCAAAGCGCACTCCCGTGTCCGTGGCGCGCACACACTCGTGTCCCACTGAGCCGCTGCACTTTGGGGAAAGACACGTCTCACACATTGCTCTCATTGCTCTGATACAAACAACGTGTTCCCCGCTGTCTGTTAGCTACAGTAGCTGCTACAGTAGCTGCTACAGTAGCTGTTAGCTACAGCATCCGAATGTAAACAGGAAGCTCGCACAATGCGGGAGTCCCTGAAGTTAGTATTAGCGCCACCAGCTGGACCGAGCGTTGTACTACAGCACAGTTACTCAGGCACAGTTGAAAGAACAAGCATGAAAACCCGAGGCGGCTTTTGGAAAAGACTGTCTGTTACAACATTTCTATTTTGAGTAATCAGTTTTAAAAATGTGATATTTCATGTAAATAATGCATGTGTTTAATAGGATTGATATATTTGCGATGGGCCTTGTTTGTGTGATTTAAGTTATTTTGAAGGTGCATAGTGTCATTGTAAGTGAAGTTATTATAAAACTGTTAAGCTACATTTTCACTGTTTACAGAGCCATCTCGTTTACAAGCATGTTTTAAGGCTTAATTCCTGTTACACTTATGCTCCATGGGGATTTAGATTAAACTGCATAAAGGAAAATCTATTTCTTTGTCAGTTGTAGTTTGTTTTTAAATAGAAAAAAATAAATCGATTAAAATCGAAAATCGGATTTGGTGTGAAAAAATCGGAGATTTTTTTTTTTTGCCATATCGCCCAGCCCTACAATATAGTACCCGTTTTATCCGCTGAGAAAATCGACTGTTACATTTCTGTGTTACTATACTTTGCAGTGTAACACGTCACGTAACTATATACATTTAATAGGGAACACTTGGAAGAGTTTGGTAGCTTCTAGCGGGAGCTACCTTTTGGTGCTACAAAATATACAGAGGAGGCTGCGGTTGTGCTCCCGTTTTTGCTCCGTTTGCATGACAGAGCGCACGGACTAAGACCAGACAGGTACGTATTAACTAGTCTAAGGTAAGGTAAGAACATATGTCAGTATGTAAAAACGGTGAACTATTCCTTTAAGATACAAGAAACTTCTCCCTTGGAAAGAGAGAATAACGCAACAGTTAATAAAATAAGACTAAATGGCTTTGTCCCCATTAGCAAATCTTGTTTTAACACATTCAGAATGTGCTCAGATCAAGATATAAAAAAAACATTATTATGTTGCCCTCGGGCTGTTTTGAATTAGGGCTATACAATAGCCCTAATTCAAAACAGCAGTTTTCTTGGAGGACTTCACAAAGTTGGTCCTTCGGAGCGGATGATCAATCTTCATAAATGTTAATAAATTACTAAACTGTTCTTAGTCCCTCCTGCATTGGCAAGGAACAGCTAAAACATTTCAAGTGTGAGGAGCTCGTTAGATTTAACAAGGCTCAAAAGTTAGGTTTCCCAGCTTTAAACCATATACAAATGGAGAATGTCTTTTGAAGGACAAACCTGAGATCCGGACATGACGCTGAGCCCACTGTCAGAACTCATCTGGGACTTTTTCTCCTCTGCATCTGCCACCAGAGAGCGCTGTTGCTTCCCTCCTTCAGACCCTGAGGGCACATATGTAAATTACACTCTGCTTTTTGTATCACGTGTCCCTTCGCTTACCTTACACCTCAGTCTGAATCTGAGCAAAACTGCACTCGGAAAAAGTATTCAAAAAACACGCCATCTTAGCATCAATCTATCATCCACATATAGCAGTAGCATTGAACAACTTTTGATACACGTTGAAGAATACATAACACAAAGAAGTGACACAGGGGCAAGCAGAGAGTGCGGTAATCAGTGCCATCAAACCGAGGAGTTACAAATGAGTCTGAGAAGAAGCGTGACGTTCGAAAAGGCTGCGTGTGGCCCAAGGTAACACCAGAGAACACAGGACGACAGCACACAGGCAGATAGGCATGCACACAAACTCAATCCAGGAGCACGTTTCAAGTGTCAGTGCCAATCAAGAGGCTGACGACATTATCGAGAGACGCTGGCTTTCTCGTTACTATGCGAAAAGACCTCCAGAAACCAGGACGCCGGCACAGTTCTAACCTTGGACCACTTGAAACAGCGAGTTTTCATCAGTAATATGGGGCAGCAGTTATAGATCTTGCTATAGATGCTGCTAAAGGTAAAGAGGTTAAAACACAGCCATAGCAGGTACATGTGTCAAACTATCAACAGAAATACATTTGTTCTTGTACCAAATGGTGGACGTGTGACACCATGTGCTACCAAGAATACCACTACTAGTCAGAAAGTGTGATTTTTTAAATAATTCTAAGACTAAAAACTGTATATGTTGAAGTAAAAAACGGGGTGGAGAGATAGAGAGAGAACTAAAAGAGGGACACCCCAAATTTTTACTTTCTTGGTGTGTGCAAAAGTCTCTTACTCTGTGGTTTTTCCATAGCTTTTTGCTTATCCTGGTGCTTGCTCCACAATTCTACCCAAGATGCATTGCAAGCAAGGAGAGAAAGACAGAGAGAGAGTCAGAGAGCTGGTAGAAAAGGCATGTATGGTGGGTGAGCAGTTAAAACAAACAAAACAAACTTAGCATTGAGAAACTGTTACTGGGGAGGAGGAGGGGTGGGTTGAGTGTGGCTGAAATGCAATGGAGCTCAACAGTGGACGGGAACTTCTGAAGCCAAAACGTTCTTGTCCAGAATACATTGTTAGATGAGGGATATATCAGCTCGGGTTTGAATACTATCTAGGGATCCATCCACATTCTTCGGCTTCATCCTTCGCCGGGTTACAGAGGCAGTAGAGCTGGAGTTCCCAGGCATGTGCTGGGTCAACCCATAGATCATAGGAGTTGACTAGTGCATGACGTTGGCCAATTAGCGCTAACTCGAACAGAAATCTGGAGCTCAGTGTATGCAGATGTGTGGGTAGCAACGACCAAGCAACCCAAAGGCCCATCAGGAGAGAGAGAGTCTGTCCCCATTGCGCTATTTGCTAGCTAAAGCTTAATTCAGGGACAGAAGACTCCAGTCAGTTGTGAGGGCTCGTATTTGGATTAACAATACCAAAATATAAACACCAGGATCAGAGAACGTGCTAAACCATGACCGTTTAAACCCAAAATGGTGAGTGTGACTCAAATGCTTTAGGAGCCAGAGCAGTTTTGTTTTCAATGTGAGTCAATAGGAACCAGAGTGAATAGGAGCAACGCCATGGTCCATGAGCACTTCCCTTTTGGGCTCCCTCGAACAAATGGGTTTGCACTGTCCATCTATGGGTCTACCCTAAGGACATGCCAAGACCAGGATGCATACCTGCTCGCTCCTCTTTACATGCAGGGGTAGTGGCTCTACTCTGAGCTTTGATTAAACTGTGATACTTGCACAGGCAAAAACAATAACTTAGCTGGACATTTATATTACACGATATAATACCGTTACTATGAGTGTCAGACATAACAAAAGCATAATCTTCATGTAACTCTTCAAATTGTTTAAAAGTCTTGGCCGAAAAACAGAGGTGAGCATGCACTGTTGAGCTCGTTATAGACCCAATTTGATAGAAACAAGCTAACATTGTACCGCAGCCACACTGGCCAGAGCTCTGCAGAGTCCCACATGGTGAAAACCAGATGTGCAAGGCTCTGCACAGCTGCGGAGGTGATTGTTCAAAGAAAACGGCATGGGATGGATTTGAGAGGCTTTGAGAGGCCGACTAGCCTGCCGTGGGTGAGATGGAGCATTTGCTGAAGCAAGGATGCAATGTCTCAACAGCATTCTGTAGAATTGAAGGTGCAATCTCTAAAGGGAGAGAAGGGTGCAGGGGTGGTTGGGTGGTACTCGACACTGTCCCCTATATACAGACCCAGAGCAGACAGAATACAGAGAGAATCGCAGGATTGATGATCGATAAGGTTGGTCTTTCCTGGGCCTGTATACGAGAGGAGAGAAGCTTCCACCCTCCATGCTCAGAGCAAAGGGAGCTGCCATAAAGACCAGAGCACGCCTGGCACAAACCTGCAGTACCGCCTCGGGTCTCCCTGGTCCACTACTGCAGATTTTTACACTGTTCATACGCACACATGCACAGGACAGGGCTGCAGGCTGCACACCACACACACAGGGAGCACAGGGACATGTTAGGGGAGACGACCAGGGCACAGTCCAAGCTGCTGCAGCCTATCTTCACACTTCACTCTCTGCTATGGATGCCATGTTTGTCCGAATTAAAGAACAGAGATAATCACTCCCAATAAAATATGTGAATACATTTTGTACTTAAGTCTTGCTTATTCATTACAAAAGGCATGATGAAGATGCTAAAGTTAGAGATTTCAGACACCTTATTATATATATAAAAATAATATTATATTATATATTATAAATTGGCATGTATTTGCCAATTGCAGTATTATTATGATCGTTTTTATATTTGCTTCTTTTTAAGCTAGAGTTAGAGATTGTATTTAATTATTTTTTAGTATAGAGTTATTATTAATTTATCTTGTGCTGTGTGCTCCTCTTTCCTACGGTCTGTAACTTATGATGAACACTTACATTTCCCCACTGTGGGACGAATAAAGGATCTCTCAATCTAATCTAAATCTACTAGGACTATAGAATTGATTTTGACTATTTTACAGGATTCATTTTATGCTGAATTGTGTTCTGAATTGTGTCTGAATTGAAGATAAGAAAATATTTTATTCAGTCAATAGATCGGATTGTATGTGTATTGTCTTGTGTTGATACTATTTGAAACATCCACGGTGAGAATGAAGTGTGAAATGTTGGCGCTGAAAGATTAGTACGAGCCACAGTCTGGAGCAGAGCAGAATCTGACAAGCGTTTGGGATGGGGGAGCACATGCCACCAGGCGGGAGGGGAGTACACACCAATGGAGGCTATAAAGTTTTCCTCGTTCAGGCTGCGGGTGTCAAAGTGGCGCGTGCCACGGCCAGTGCCGTGGTGAGGCACCTGCAGATGGGGGACGTGGAGGAGGGTGGGGCCACGGGCGGCCTCCACGCGGGACGACGGGCTCTCTTTGCTCCCCGGGCTGCTAGAACTGTCAGTGGGGCTTCGCTTGTTTCGCTTCTCAGGGTCTAGTGAGTCAGACCAGAGTTAGGGGACGAGCCATAGACAAGTCAGAGTTGCAGAACAGAGAAATGGAGAGGTTAGTGGAAGCAACAGGAAGCAGAGGGTGAAGCACGACTCCCAGGGGAGTCCTCTGCAGCGAAGGCCAGACGCAGCACACATGGTTAGTAGCACAAACTTACTGCTGTTACATGATGATAGATATGTTTATTCATGAGTTTCTAAAGAGAGAATCACTCCAAATACAAAGTTAAATACATTGTTTTATGTGTTTGGGTTGAAATCTTAAATGTGGTTGTTTTCCTGAGACAACAGATTATGTATAACATGCCATGGAAACTATTAGCATCAATGCTGCAAGCTGATAATTATAATCACAAAAAATTGTCTTGCGAGTCAGTCTAACAGTCTCTACTTTAGCTGCCCTGGGAAAGTGGTATTTGCAAACAGTACCTTTGGTTTGGTAGTGTGTGCGTGCAATCTCGAGCAGACTGAACACGCTGGCCATCCCCCCAAGACCAGCATTGGTGTAAGAATGCTCCAGGCTGGACACGGTGCACTTCAAAATGTCCAGCATGCCTTTGTACACCTTTCTGTTCACCTCCTGTGCAAGAGAGACGGTGAGAAGGTGAGATTTTTGAATGTGAATTGTGTCACATATGATGGAATTCTGACTGACTGCATAGACGAGGAAAAAGGTAAATCTTTCTGCAGCTTGAAGGATGTAACGTTTGTTTCCTTCTCAAAGTACAGTATAATCAAGTGTAATCATTAACAGACAAAATATGTGAAAAGGACTATTGTACATGGTTTTAGTGGTAAGGGAACTGTGTCAACCTCAGTGTGTGTGTCTGTATTTGTGGCCCTGTCTGTTTGTGTCTATGTCTCTCAGTTTGAAACCACCTACCACGTCTCTGATGACCTCCTGCCTGGCGTCCTCCTCAGACTGCACCGCACGGTTGAGTTTACTTAGTACAAAGACGCGCAGCTGTTCGTTCTCCAGCAGGCGGCGCACTTTCTTCATGTTGAGCCAGCCCACTCCCTGTCCGTCCAGCACGCTCTGCACCACCTCCTTCAGGAACTGCTGGTTCTCACTGCACAAGCAACAGCAGAGCATCACACTTCAGAGGAAGTCAACAACAACATCCTGTCACTACTGATTGTTAGTATGTGTGACGCAAACATATAAAAACATGTTTTTTTAGTGGGAAAAAGTTCATGTTATCGTTTGGCTGCTGTCAGACTGTGCAACGAACAATGAGGACTAGCGAACACTGCTGACCTGACCTCACATGTCGTGCATCTGTGCAATAACTTCTTAATCAGAATGTGCAATATAGACCCATACGTGTCAATATATAATTCTTATACTTCATTTTAGTATAGTTATTGGTCACTTATAATGTACAGTATGTTCTGTAATCAGAGATGCAACACTGAAAATTCCCCACTGTGGGACGAATAAAGGATCTCTAAATTTTAAGGATCTGCTAAATATGACCAAAACTATTCCTGTCAGAAGGTGTAAACTTTCAAGCACAACTGTAGAGCGGCTCCTGCTCAGCCTTGGCCAATCATAGTCTGTGTGTGTATCACCTGTTGATTCGTGGAGACTGTGTGTGTGTGTCTCACCTGTTGTTGTTGACTCGTCCCTGAGGGGAGGGGGACTCTCGCTTCACTGTAGGACTGTGTTTAATCACAGAGGACTTCTGGTCCACCAGAGCCCGCGGCGCACGAGCACCTGCAACAGCACCAATTATCAGCTTAAGCGTCATAATCAGGCCGCTAACGCCACTACGGGGAAAGGTTAGCTTAGCGAGACCTGCGTATTCAGTTGAGAAAACATTGGGGAGAAAAGGATTTTAAATAACAACAAAGGAAAATACACATAGTTGTAACTCTTTAGGCACAAAAGTAGCAGAATTATCTTGTGCGTGAACTGTACTATGGAAAAAAAGTTGCCTTGTCTTGTCCTGCTTAGCATAACTGCCACAATCCAAGACACATTCTATAGAGACACCTGGGTTCCCAACTAGTGTTACAATATTCCATTTCAAAACTCAATCTTACACCAATTTTATACTATCGAAATTAATACTTTAATTAAGCTATCCAAGTGTTATTAGTTTAAAATGTATCAAGAAATAAAAACGCTTATGTAATGATTTTTAAATGTTATACTTTTGGACACTATAGTTTCCCCTGCTGTTCTTTTGTGAAGTTTCAAAGCTCCACTTTTTGACAGACTCACATCATATTTCCGTAAAAACCCTGTGCCTAAAGGGTTAACTTTCTGCCTCCTGCTCGTCTCAATTATTGCTTTGGTTGAAATGTCCCAGAGTACGGGCTTTCTTTAATAATTTACTTTTTTTTTTAAACATTTATAAACAGTTGAAATTTCACATGAACACACAACCAATAACAGTGTCATGAGGGCAAGCAGGAAGCAGGCCATCCAAACTCTTATCATGATCTAGGCCCAGTGATTGAGGCCTAAAAAGCCACCACACACGAGGAGAGAGAAGGTGCACTACTGCTGTAAAGTGCAGCAAAGTACTGTAAAGAGACGAATGCTCGGTCAGGCTGTTTTTCAGGATCTATTATTACACAGAGGAGAAAAAAGGACAGCCACAACCTCAATAACAAAAGAACCAGTGTCATACCTTCAAACAGTGACAAAAATGCTAATAACAACACATTTTAAGCATATTTGACATCAGTAATGTTAGGAAATCCGTAAATCTGTGCATATCACCTCAAAAGGTGGGGGACAGGAGGGTTCTGGACAAACTAACATCTATGCTGGACCATGACTGTCACGCCCTGCAGGACACTCTCCAGGACACTGGAGAGCAATTTCAGTGCCAGACTAATTCACCCTCGCTCTGTGAAGGAGAGGTTCTGTAGGTCTTTCCTTCCTGCTGCTGTCAGACTGTACAATGAAAACTGCTGAGCTTGTAAATTTCATTCATCTGTAAATACATGTAAGTAAATTCTTAAATCATGTGCAATACTGCAACTTTGGAATTTCCACTGAACAATGTCACTTTACTTTATCTACTTATTATCCTGCACTATATGTACAGTATATAACTCTGCACTACTACACATATATATATATATATACAATTATTTTTTTTAAATTATTGAAGCATTTTTAGCATCTACAGCTAGTTATGCTAGCTAAGAAACATATACTATTTATTTTGTATATTGTGTGTGCTCCCTATGTGCTCTTACTGTACTACTGTCCTGTATGTGCGCTGCAACATCGAAATTTCCCCACTGTGGGACGAATAAAGGAACTCTTGAGGGTGTCACCCTCAAACAATCAGAAACAAGTTGTTTTTCATACGTGCTTGTTTCTATACTTGCTTCTTATTATGCTTAAGATACACATTTTATACCTACTTCTTATAATAGTAAAGACAGAGATCTTGTACTATTCCTACTGTTCTGTAACTTGTGATGCAACACTGACATTTCCCCACTGTGGGTGAAATAATGGATCTCTTAATCTTAACCTTTTTTGCTTTTCTTACTCTGTGTACAGATATATTATGCACTAATTTGCCAATTTAATTGATGATGAGACTACTTACTTTGTCATTTTATGTTTTTGAATGTATGCCAATTAGGACGGTCAAATGATTAGCATTTTTAATCAACTTAATAACAGCTTAAAAATTAATTAATCATAATTAAACACAATATCAGCAAAATTATAATTATTTTTCTGTAAATGGTTGTTTGAATGGAAATATAAATGACAACATAGTGTACATACAGTATGTACTGTATTTATTATTATTATAACAACAATAAATCCAAATTAAAATTATTAACGTTCTGTCTTTCTGTAGCAGACAGTATTTATTCTAAGTTGTATTAAAAGTTGCATTAAAACCCGTAATTCAATTGAAAAATTGAGCTCATTGATTCGGTTTGTGTATGAATTCAGGCCTAAAAAGTGCTGAATAGAAACTTTGCGTGACGCTCGTGCTCCTAGGCCACGCCTCCTCTAGCGTATTTATTCAGTGATTGCCAGTGAACTAATGCCTCCCTGCTCTGTCGCCATCTCACACGTGTCACTTCTGAGTGTTTTTATGGGATGCATGAGCGGATCATACAGCATATGCATCAAATGCGTTAATTTTTTTACGCGATTGATGCATTTTTTTTTTTTTTTACTTTATTTAATTTTAACAGCCCTAACACCAATATAAATACTGCTTTCTGTCTGTAACTCGCTATGATGCTACCAGAGGATGGTGTGGCCTTAATAGTTTTATTGTGGAATACTATGCAAGCTACAGTGACAACGCAATTTCCCTTGTGCATCAATAAAGTCTGTCCAAGTCTAATGTCAAAGTCTAGTAAGGGAAACACTTCCAGGCCTTATGGGAATGACGATGGTTGATTGTGACACCATATGGCCAAGCTCTCCCCTCAGAGGAAGTGAAGCAGACGGTCATGATGGTGGCGTGATGTCTGAAAACACGATGGAATGACAGACAACAGACGTCGGAGCCGTGGGGAGACGCATGCAGCTCACTGACAGAACCGTAAGACCTTCTCACCTTCTCCGCTCCCCTGGCCGGCCTCTGTTATAATCTCCATTAGAGAATTTAGCCCAAAGACTGCACACAGAAGCCAGGGTTAGTGGCACCTGGGGGGGGTCCTGCAGGGGCCCCCAGAACATGCAACATTGTTCAAAAAGGAAAGAAAACAACCAAAAGTACAATACACAACATGGACATGATGGCGTCATGTGTTGGCTTGGATGGTTCCAGCAATGTGTCCATAAAGTGCCTTCGCTTCCATGGCTCATTTGCTGTTAGCTTCAATGACTCATTCGCCGTTAGCTTCAATGACTCATTCGCCGTTAGCTTCAATGACTCATTCGCCGTTAGCTTCAATGACTCATTCGCCGTTAGCTTCAATGACTCATTCGGCGTTAGCTTCCATATCTCACTCATTCGGCGTTAGCTTCAATGACTCATTCACCGTTAGCTTCCATGACTCATTCGCCGTTAGCTTCCATTACTCATTCGCCGTTAGCTTCAATGACTCATTCGCCGTTAGCTTCAATGACTCATTCGCCGTTAGCTTCAATGACTCATTCGCCGTTAGCTTCAATGACTCATTCGCCGTTAGCTTCAATGACTCATTCGCCGTTAGCTTCAATGACTCATTCGCCGTTAGCTTCAATGACTCATTCGCCGTTAGCTTCAATGACTCATTCGGCGTTAGCTTCAATGACTCATTCACCGTTAGCTTCCATGACTCATTCGCCGTTAGCTTCAATGACTCATTCGCCGTTAGCTTCAATGACTCATTCGCCGTTAGCTTCAATGACTCATTCGCTGTTAGCTTCAATTACTCATTCGGCGTTAGCTTCCATATCTCACTCATTTGGCGTTAGCTTCAATGACTCATTCACCGTTAGCTTCCATGACTCATTCGCCGTTAGCTTCCATGACTCATTCGCCGTTAGCTTCAATGACTCATTCGCTGTTAGCTTCAATGACTCATTCACCGTTAGCTTCCATGACTCATTCGCCGTTAGCTTCCATGACTCATTCGCCGTTAGCTTCAATGACTCATTCGCTGTTAGCTTCAATGACTCATTCGCCGTTAGCTTCAATGACTCATTCGCCGTTAGCTTCAATGACTCATTCGCCGTTAGCTTCAATGACTCATTCGGCGTTAGCTTCCATATCTCACTCATTCGGCGTTAGCTTCAATGACTCATTCACCGTTAGCTTCCATGACTCATTCGCCGTTAGCTTCAATGACTCATTCGCCGTTAGCTTCAATGACTCATTCACCGTTAGCTTCAATGACTCATTCACCGTTAGCTTCCATGACTCATTCGCCGTTAGCTTCCATGACTCATTCGCCGTTAGCTTCAATGACTCATTCGCTGTTAGCTTCAATGACTCATTCGCCGTTAGCTTCCATGATTCATTCGCCGTTAGCTTCCATATCTCACACATTCATGTTGAGGTATTCACACGTTTCTACATTCAGCTGTACCAATTATTCCTTTAAAGAGCAAATAGGGTTCATTATTTAGTTCATTTTGTCGCTCAAAGACAGGCCAAAATGAAGTCAGATAAGTTCACTGACTTTTGAAAAGTTAGTATTTGAACTGAAGGGAGGAGAGGATGTTAGCACGAAACCCCAGGTCTGTTTTTTGAAGAACGTTGTAAAACATGGTAAACAGCTCAAGATGTTTTTGAAGATGATGTCTCCAGTGTATTCATACAAAAGGTTCTAATGTACAATACATCTGTGTACTACTTTCATTTATTTTACTACTTTTCTATTTGTGCTACTCTGCCAAGTCATCTGTCACATATTAGTCACATTCGTCATATGAATCACAAACCTCTGAGCGGCTACTGAGAAAAACTTAAAATACATTAAGTGTCATTTATAAATCCATACCTGATGAAAGTGTATAAAAATGATACCAACCATTACAACAAAAGTTAGGTTAAGAGTCGCTGCTTTAATCTAATATTAAAGTCAGCATGCATGTCTCAACTGTCTCTTTGCTCCCAACTTGTTTAAATAGGTTGCGTTCATGTGACATCACATCTTTCCAAACACAGTGATGGAGGGCAGTCTGTTTCCCTGGTAACTTTAGTAACTGTCAAAGAAGTGGTGACTATATTTAAATGCTTTTTAGTGCTTTTAGTTTTGAAAGATATATCACGTATGTACATTTGTGGTCTTCATAACTTCTGTCTTCATATGTAGTTTGTATCTATTTCTTTATTTTAGTAAAAAAAAAAAAAAAAAAGAAGCGAGTGCTAGTTACCATAGCAACACACTGTTTACTTGCTAGCAGTTAGCATTTGGTCACTTTTCATCATACTTGCTGTATTTCAGGTATATTCACCAGTTTTTTGCACTTATCAAGAGTGAGTGAGGGCAAAACATTTTGGAAATTTTCTCAGAATTGCTTTGAATGGGGGCAGTCAAAATGACGTCTCTGGGAGTTCTCGTAGTTTCCTACTTCTGGTAGTCCGTATTTCCCATAGGGTAGTATCGGCGCCTGCCCTCCAGCTGAAATACAAGTCTACAACGCAACCTATTTCAGACAAGAAGCATAGAGTCTGAAAAGAACCAGAGCTGGACATGGAATACAGTAGAAGTATTTTACCACACACTAAAGGCAAACAACTCAAAGTCAAAGTGGGAAGTCTTGTGCTGTTTTAAACTCCACTGTTCCATCACAGCATTGTTTCCACCACCAATGTGTGAGTCATGGTGCAAAGACACAGAGCAGTACAGGGTTGTAGGGTCAGAGGAGGGAGAGGCTTGCAGAGTCGGAGTTTGGAGAGAAACACATCAGGGCAAACGGCTAAAAGCTAACGCTAACACAGCACACGTAAACGTACCAGGGCTGTTGGGGTCTTCTGTGAGACGAGAGACAAGACACGTCAAGATCAGGAGCAACAGATTCAATGGCAACTCTTGCACATGGAGAGCCGTTTTCTCTCACACACAGTTCAAATATAGCTCATTTAAAAGCATGTGTCAAGAGTGTTCTCAGTATTTAAAGACGATGGAACGTGGCAAATGAGGAGTGATTATAACCCAACCAAAGCTTTAGACTTTGCTTGATGAAACCTGATGAGATGAGAAGTAAGTAAGTAAGTAATCTTTATTTATATACCGCCTTTCAGAGACCAGAGTCACAATGCGGTTTACAATTGTGGGCATTTGTCCCCTCACTCCACACAGAGATGGGAGCGGGGTCGCCGAACAGGAGGCGCATGCCAGACCTATTGTACATGTTTTTAGTGGTAGGGGAAACCGCAGCACCCGGAGGAAACCTACGCAGACACTGGGAGAACATGCAAAGTCCACTCAGAAAGGCCCAGTTCCGACCGGGATTCGAACCCAGGACCTTCTTGCTGAGAAGCGAGAGTGCTATCCACTCAGCCACCGTGCCGCCCGACACTACAGATGTGTCTAGTGTTGACTGGTGTGGACACTAGACACAACAGACTGATGTTTTATTCTGTTATTCTGTTTATTCTGTTGTGTAAAGCGTTTTATGACACCAAGAGGCTGAACCAGTGGATTCAGTGGAGAAGGTGGTGGAGCAAAGAACGCTCTCCAAGATCAGAGTGATCCAGTGTGCACCAGACAAGTACATCAATAATCAAGCAGATAGTGCACACAGCGACGCCCTGTCTTACCACCATCTTGAAATTCCTACGCTGATCAAAAGATGTGACAGAGGCCAAAACGGCATAGATGTGTGCGGTCAAAAGCATCAATAAGTGTTATGTATTACTATTCAAATTAGTAATCATTTGAATAGTTCTATCATCTATCTATCTATCTTGTATTACATAGAAGCATTGTTTCTGGTTTAAAAGTTGCATATCCCAGTTTTAAATCTATTCAAAACATTCTGTTAGTTGTGTGGCGCTGTCCTCATTGCTGCCCCTAGTGGTCAGAGCAGGTACAGCTCTATAGCTAAGATACTACTATGGTACGAAAGTGTTTGCATGAACCAAACATAGAGCAGAAACAAGCCTTTAGGATGATGCACCGCTGCATGAGGCCACGATACGAGAACTAGGATTATTTTTTTCAAATTATTGGAGAGAAAACAGAAAAAAACCCTCCATATGCTTCATGAGAGGCTGCCATTTTGAAAAGACAATCCAGAGGAATATCAATCATGCTTTGTTTGGGAACATTTACAAACCTGCTTGCTCCATGTCCTCCTCAATATCAATTTTAAAATACTCTTTAAAAGTAAAAAGAAACAAATAAAATGAAAAAAAAACAGGAGATACAAAAATAGACATCACAAAATTGGCTGTGATTGAAAGCTAATCAGCTTTGAGAATACTACTAGAAAGACAATATTTACAAGTAAACGGAGGGGTCTGCATTAGAGGTGCTGTACCTTTGAGGCTGGGGAAAGGAGTGGCCTTCTCTCTCGCCGCCTTGTTTGGAAGAGCCAGGTTGGAAAGACTAAAACTTGTGCCATGGTTCTTGTAGAGATTACCTGAAAAGACGGCGCGAAAAAGTCATACTTCAAAAATTCAATTCAATGTATTTTTGTATCGCCCTAAATCAGAACAGTAGTTATCTCTAGAGGACTTTACAAAGCTGTCAATTCACCAACACAGATCAGAGAATTAAAGAGTTCACAGAAAACCCATTTTGGTCACCAACATTTATGGACATTTAATAACATTTATGGACATTTAATAACATTTATGGACATTTAATAACATTTATGGACATTTAATAACATTTATGGACATTGGTCTTTGCCCCTTATGGACCAGTGGCTCTGTTTTTTATCATTGGATTTCTGTGTTTGATTCTCTGATCTGTGTTGGCAAGAAGTCCTCTGAGAAAACTACTGTCAACTACTCATAACTACTAGGATTTAGCGCTATACAAAAATAAATTGAATTGAATTGAATACTGTATAACTATGTATTGCTCTATGGCTGAAAAGGTTCTCACTCGCAAAAGACATGAGTCCTCCCAGACCATCGTTGCTGCTGTTGGAGATGGTGGAGTTGGGAGAACTGTTGCGAGAGTCTTCTCCATCAGACTCTCCGGGAAGACGGAGGCTGCTGGGACGCAGGGGCCGACCAACCCTGGGGTCAGAGGTCAGAGAGAGAGAGAGAGGTGAGAGAGAGGCCAACCCAGGGGTCAGAGGTCAGAAAGAGAGTTGGGAGAACTGTTGCGAGAGTCTTCTCCATCAGACTCTCCGGGAAGACGGAGGCTGCTGGGACGCAGGGGCCGACCAACCCTGGGGTCAGAGGTCAGAGAGAGAGAGAGAGGTGAGAGAGAGGCCAACCCAGGGGTCAGAGGTCAGAAAGAGAGTTGGGAGAACTGTTGCGAGAGTCTTCTCCATCAGACTCTCCGGGAAGACGGAGGCTGCTGGGACGCAGGGGCCGACCAACCCTGGGGTCAGAGGTCAGTGAGAGAGAGAGGTGAGAGAGAGGCCAACCCAGGGGTCAGAGGTCAGAAAGAGAAGGGTGAGAGTAAGTAATTGTAGTAGTAGTAAGTAATCTTTATTTATATACCGCCTTTTCACTGCAAATCTGAGTCTCAAAGCGGTTTACAATTGTTAATTATTTTTGGGCATTTGTCTCTCACTCCACAGAGATAGGAGCGGGGTCGCCAGTACACGAGGCGCATGCCAGACCTATTGTACATATTTTTAGTGGTAGGGGAAACCGGAGTACCCGGAGGAAACCTACGCAGACACGGGGAGAACATGCAAACTCCACTCAGAAAGGCCCTGGTCCGACCGGGATTCGAACCCAGGACCTTCTTGCTGGGAGGCGAGAGTGCTATCCACTCAGCCACCGTGCCGCCCGTGCCGAGAGAGAGACCAACCCAGGGGTCAGAGATCAGAGAGAGGGATCAGAGAGAGACCAACATTGGGGTCAAAGAGGGCTCAGAAAGAGAGCAACCCTGGGGTCAGAGGTCAGAGAGAGGGCTCAGAGAGAGACCAACCCTGGGGTTAGAGAGAGGGGTCAAAGATAGACCAGCCCTGGGGTCAGAGCGAGACCAACCCGTGGGTCAGAGAGAGAGAGAGACACCATCAGAGACAAGACCATCCTCCGGGAAGACAGAGACTACAGGGGCGCAGGGGACAATCAACCAAAGGGTCAGAGGTCAGAGCGAGACACCATCAGAGACCGTTGGAAAGAGACCATAGACACAGAGGAGTAGGGCTGCACAATAGTGGCATACTGCCAGCACTTTACTCTGCACAATATAGTTCTGTTTTTTTTTTTTTTTTTTAAATAACTTCATTGTAAGGGAACTCACAATATTATTTCTAAACCTCAAAAGAAAAAATTATAAATGTGTTCACTTATAATAGATAAATGTTTCTTGGAGTCATAAGACAGATTTTGCTTTATAGTACAAGAAATCAATTATTTTCCTCTAAAAGGAAGAGAATTCTAGACAAATATGCAGGAAGTAAAAATGAGTTTAGAAATAAATATATCATACTGCATATCTCATGCCTATTCATGCATATTTGTCTAGAATGGATATTTGCACAATTGTAAATAGGAAAATATTTGGACCTTGTTGACTTCGCTGTATTACCTCCAACGATACAAGAATGGCAAGTTTGAATGAAATCACTGTTTTGGGTAAAATCATGAACATATGCATTTAAATATGTTTTAGGGAAGTGTGTTGTCTTGTCTTATGACACTTTGATTTGTACAGCCCTAAAACACAGAGGACACACACTGGATCCACTGCACCACACACACCACCTTGATTCAAAACCACCATGGAATAAGCTGAATGAGCCGTGGGTAAGCAGGGGGTGGAGAGAGAACATTTCATGGTGGAAAAAGCCCATTGAATGATGATCACAGTCATTCAAGTCACAAACAAGTCGCACACACTTGTTGCCATTGAGGCTCTGGTTGAATCGAGGCGTGTAGGACTCCACTTGCTCGTCCGCCTCTGGGTCGTCCTCCGTGGGGAAACCGTACTGGGGCTCAAAGTAGGGGTTGTCATACTCTGGCTTCTTGTTGGTCGGGTCCACGGCGCCGCTATCAGCTGGGGGGCGGAGGAACGGCTGACTGGCCAGGCCTGGGACAGGGGTCTGCAGGGCGGCGCTGGCTGAGGCCTCCATTTCAGGTGGCTCTCCTGGCTCCTGCGAAGGCACAAAGGACACAGATTCAGTTTTCTCCCAGGAGAGGCCTTAGCTGCTTCTATTGTTCATTTGATGACATTTGGTTGTAAACTAGTCTAAACACTTCTCCCAGATGGAGCCTTATTTAGCCGATTCACATTGATTTGAGAAAACAGGGGATAAAAACCCATTGACGTCTTGGCCGCCTCTAGTAATGCGTTACTACAATATTACTGTTATGCTCCATATATTTGTTTTTATAGAGTTTTCTTGCGGTCTGTTAGACTGTTGTAGAGTGGTGTAACAAAAAGGACTGTGGTGATGATCCAGGACACTTTAACATTCTACAACATTAATGGACATTAGACAACTTCCCCCTATGGACCAATACCTATATTTCTTGTGATTTAACTGTTTGATTCTCTGATACGTGTTCGCAATTTGGACTGCTTTGTTAAGTTGTCTCCAATAAACTTTAAATAATGGGGGTCTGTCCATCTGTAAAATGTGCTATTGTTCACATGTGCCAGTTTCTGCTTCAGCCTCAGCCGTCTTCTACCAGAAAGGAACAACACTCCTACGCAAATTCTATTGGAGCAGATGTATTCTCCTGCCAATCTCATGGTGCAGAGGATAAAAACAAAACACTATTTAATTTTGGGTTAAATGTAATGCTCCTGACCTACTACTACTACTACTACTCAATTTGTTTTGGTGTTATTCTTAAACTGCAGTTTGTGTACTATGCCCATTTAGGACTCTAACAAACACTGCACAGCTCCAGTTTGAGTGATAGAATCTTCGTACATTGTTGACTCCCTGGATGATGGTGCTGGGGCTGGAGCTGGCCGTGGTGCTGGAGCTGGAGCGAAGGGGCTGTCCGTCTGATGGTTCTGGGGGGACGTCTGCTCCTCCTGTGGATGTCTCCGAGCTCTGGCCCTCGCTCAGTTCCTGCAAGTCCTGGAACTCCACCTCACTGGGGTCTCCCAGCGCCGCGTGAGTGGGCGGATCCAAGTCTGAACACAGAAGAAGAAGATTGCAATGAATGTTGGATGATAGGAGGCCATATGACTATTTGAGTCATATGGCCTCCTATCATATGAAGAGATGGGAAAATATCAGTGTTGCATCCCCAGTTACAGAATAGTAGGAATGAGAAGCACACAGCCCATCTTAATGGTGATGGTTTCTTTCTGAGGAACTTTTAAATATATATATTATAAAAAACACTAAAAATAAAAAAATATAGTGATGCTACACGGTCATATTTTCAGAAATGTGTAGTATTAAAAAAAAAAAAAACTATTGGAAAGTGCAGAAATCCTGTTTAAGGGTGATAATGCTGTTTCAACCACAGTATAGAATTCAGCCACAAATGATTTTGCAAAATGATAACTAAAGTTACATTCCAATATCAAAGGGCCAAAATATACACACCAAACCGTATGTTGTAATTATTATTAAAAAACAAACATCTATCTTGCAGATAAGCCAAGTTTATTCTTTCACTGGTTTTACAGTAATCCCAAAGCGTGAAATTAATTTGAAATGAGACAAATTTGCACAAACATCACAGTTGTTCATTCATGGATAATGTGTTTCTTTGAGAGTTTGCTTTTGTGGTTTAATGGGTAATTTAGAAATCATCTTTTATAATTAGCAAAGCAAGCATATTTGAGTTAATTCATCCGTGCAATCATTTAAAATTTGTATAGAACTGTGCTAAACTTTATATTCCCTTCCCCTGTGTCATGTGATCCTCATTCCTACTGTTCTGTAACTTGAAGTAACACTGACATTTCTCCACTGAGGAACAAAGAAAAGGTCTCTTAATCTTAATGGTGAGGGGTCTCAGCTGTCTATCAAAGATTTGAATTAATTTTATTCAATCAGTAACCAGTGGGGGCGGGACCTAACTGGTGCGTGCGTTTAAAAAAACATCTCCATCTTCACTGTTTGAAAAGTTACTTTGAACATTTACTTGGCCGTGTCATTTTTATAACGGGAGAAGGCAGTGACATTAGCGTTCATGTATCATTGTGATGTCACACTCACTGGTGGTCTCTCCTTGGATGTCTCCTTGGATCATTTCACTCACGAGGTCTCCAAGTGACGAGTATGAGGAGCTGGAGCCGTCGTAGCCGTCGCTGTCGCTGCCACTGCACAAACACGACTTTACTGAGACTTTATAGATTAATTTATTCATTTTATTCATTCTAGCAGAAATAAAACATTCAGTATTTACAATATTTACATTCCTTAGGGTATGGAGATACTTTTTGTACATTGTCATGTTGCCTTCTGCTCATTCAGTACACTCACATACGCATGCAAATATACATACATCTGTGCTATCGGCCCCCAACAGTATCAGATTGGGGGTGTGTCTTTTGGGCCTCACCTGTCTGAGGGGTCAGAGTCGTTGGCCTCGTCTTCCAGAGGACTGGCCATGGCCTCCACCAGCTGAGAACCACTGTCATAGACTCGGTACAACACTGGCTGCAGCTGGTGAGCGTACCACTTGGGTTTGTCTCCAATCAGAGACGGGTCAAACACATCTGAAACAAGGAAACAATGCAATATGCAGATAGCAAATGATTAGCAGTGTTTCTAGGCAAAGAATATTTATTTATAAAGCACCATTCATGCAGAGGTAACCCAGGGTGCTTACAGGCACAGACAGATAATTGGGAGACAACGTTATTTTGTTCTTCTATACCAGACAATATCAAGTTAGCAATGTTATTAACTTGACATGTTTCTTAGAAACGTTTTCCTCAAACCATCAACACATGTCAAGGTAATAACATCTCTAACTTAAAGGAATAGGCCACCGTTTTTACTTCTGTTCTTCTGTTCTTACCTTACCTCAGACTAGTTGATATGTACCTGTCTGGTCTTTGTCCGTGCGCTCTGTCATGCAAACAGAGCACAAACGCAGCCTCTTCCACATACTGTATAGTAACAAAATCAGCCCCCCTTTAGAAGCTACCAAACTCTTCCACGTGTTCCCTATTTAAATACAGTTACGTGACGTGTTACACTACCAAGTACAGTAACACAGAAATGTAACATGTCGATTTTCTCAGCGGATAAAAAGGGGTACTATATTGTGAGGCGTAATAATACAAGGAGCGCTACGTCCGCGCACTAACTCCCAAGACTTCTCTCCCGCTCACGCTGCTTCTATTGACGGAAGTGAGCGGGAGAGAGTCTATAGGAGTTAGTGCGCGGACATAGCGCTCCTCGTATTATTACGTTTGGTAGCTTATAAAGGGGGGCTGATTTTGTTACTATACAGTATGTGGAAGAGGCTGCGTTTGTGCTCCGTTTGCATGACAGAGCGCACGGACAAAGACCAGACAGGTACATATCAACTAGGGATGTAAAAAACTATGAATTTTCATGACCGACCACCGAGCCTCATTAACCGGTTGAAACCGGTTAACCGCGTAGTTTAAAATAGTCCACGTTCTTTGAAATAACAGCCATTTCGAGCCGCGTACTTTTCATAAGTGCAGCTCTGCGTTCTACTGGATCAGAGTTGAGACAGCGGCGCCCAAACCCGCAACAGCTCCGGCACCTTTGCGCACAGAGAACTGCTTTTTTAATCTTCCCATTCTGCTGTGCTGCGGGTTAATACCAAAACTTTCTAGCAGCAAACGACGGCTCGTTCACATGGTCAGAGCAGCGAGTGACGAGCCGCGTCTCACAGGTCTTCACAAAAGTTTAAATACAAGTGATGTGTGCGGAGCTGATCCCGAGGACCATAAACACAAACATGTTCCATGTGGTTTGACTGGAGCCGTGTATTTGCGCGAATCCTTTGGGCTCCGTGACACAGAGGAGCGCGACAGACCGGTATGTGTGTGTGTATGTGTGTGTGTATGTATGTGTGTGTGTATGTATATGTGTGTGTGTGTAAATGTAAGCTCCAATGTAGTTCTGACCCGCGCCAGTGTGCAACTTTGACGGTAACAGAGGGGAGAGATGATGCGTGTGGATGTTACGTATGGAGAGGGGGAAAGTGTGTGTGTGTGTGTGTGTGTGTGCGCGCGCGTGCGTGTGTGCATATGTGGCTCGTGCGGCGTGAGAGTTGTCCCGGAGTTTATAATACATGGGCGCACACAGCTAGATACAGACCCGCTCGTCACATCGTGCAAATAGGGCTTAAAATAGCGTTATTAAGAGACCTCCCCTCTCCCCGTTTTCTCTTTTTTAACCGACAGCTTTGACCGGTTAACGCTGTGACGGTCAACCACCGGTTAACCGGTCGCCGATTTACATCCCTAATATCAACTAGTCTAAGGTAATGTAAGAACACATGTCAGTATGTAAAAACGGTGGCCTATTCTTTTAATATTGTCTGGTAAAGAAGAGCAAAATACTTTCTACTAAGAAGACAAGATAAACCTTCCTGAACAACTTTTTACCTTTTTACCAGTAAGTTATCTTTATTTATGTAGCGCCACAGACAGAGTCACGAAGCGCTTTACAATTGTTGTGAGCATTGTCCTCTCACTCACTCACTTAATAAAGTATCTATCTATCCATCTATCTATCTATCCACAGAGATGGAAGCAAGGTCACCATACAGGTGGAGCATGATAAACATATGATACATGGAAACCTACGCAGACACAGGGAGAACATGCAAACTCCATACAGAAAGGTCTGTATGTGGAAGGAGTTATGGAGTATGGTTATTTTGATACTTTTGAAGAAACTCCTGTCTGTCCTGTTGAACCATATCCCATTATTCAACTCTCAGTTTACTTTTTAATTTGTCATTATTGGCGGTTTTGACACAAAATCTTCACATAACTCTTCAAAGCCAAAACTAAACAAATAGAAGCGTAATCAGATTCGCAATGTTTGTCTGTTTAGACACCAATACAAGATAGACTTTAGATAGTTTAGTTAGTTAGATTAAGCAAAGCTGGTAAAACATGTGTAGAACAATCTGGAGAACAAAATGGATGCCTACTGTTGTGGATCCTCTGAAAGGCCAGGTTTGAAGGATTCAGGGCCCATTCTCCGTAGAACTCTACAGCCTGAGTATGAGAGAGTTTGTCTGCAAAGCTGGAGCGTCGAGGCCGAGACGCCAAGAAGGAAGAGCACTGGAACGCCACCACCGGGCGCGGGAACAGACGCAAGGTGCGAGTGTGCATCTGAAAGCCTTGGAGGACGTTGGGAGAGTTGAAGAACCGCACCATGGCCACTCTGTGAAGATGAAGGACACAACAATGTGACAACCAGAAAGAGAGACCAGAGGGAGAGACCAGAGGGAGAAGGAGAACACGCTATGGCCACTTTGTGAAGATACAGGACAAACAGTCCTGAGATTGTTGGAAGAATAAGGTACCGTAATTTCTGGACTAACTCCACTTCTTTCTAGAACTCTGCAGCTTACAGTATATGGCAATAAATGAGTTACGGAAGCAAACGGTGAGAAAGGGGTCGGCCCTGATAAACTTATGCTTCTGCCTTTTTGACCTTTGCCTTGTAAATATACAACCAACAAATCCTGTATCCTTGTGCTCAAAAATAAATAAAATAAAGTGACTCACCTGGTGGCCACGTCGACTGAGTCCACATCGTTGCCGTAGATGAGGGGGTTGAACTCGGTGGAGGAGGGTGAGGCTTTATCACGTCCTGGAGGGAGTAAGGGCAGCTCCTGTCCTTCCTGGAACTTCTCCAGGTTCAGGATGGGCTGCGTGTTCAGGCTCATACTGGCCAACGCCTGGAATCATCAAAAACCACATCACACACATAGTCTGGGCTAAAGAGGAGGGTTAGGCAGGGGCTGGAGAGTTAGGCAAGGGCTAGAGGGTTAGGCAAGGGCTAGAGGGTTAGGCAAGGGCTGGAGGGTTAGTAGGGACTGGAGGTGTAACCCTAACCTTGTTACACCGCTGGCATCAACACAGGATTACTCATTTAGTAACTTTACAGCCAGAATATTGTAGAATGTGTGGATCCTCTAGGGGGTCTCTAGCAGGAGGGGACTGAGAGAGAGGTTAATGTCAAAGTGTGAGATGCAATTCCCCTCTATTTGAATCTTTTTGCAATTTTGAATTCACAAAGGCTGCAAGGATGATAAGTCACAAAAAGGATGTAAGTGCTTAAATTATTATGTATCATCTTGATGTTTATGAAACGCAGAAGCTCTAATTATATTTCTCAGTTTGTCTTTTCACAGAAACATGTTTACACTGTTATTACACCAAAAAGAACCAAAGCAGTGAAAAGTAGTTCTTAAATCTACATTCTGTATATAAATTTTTTGGGGTTATGAGTTCAGACTATTTATGGAGAGAGATGACTATTTCTTAAAAAAAATCCACATATAAAATACAATAAAGTTAACAGAAGCCTTGATGAAAACCTGAGAAAGGTAAAAACGTGTCGTCATGTCCCTGTAATATTAAAGTCCCTGAGCCTCTGACCATATTACTGTAATTTCCAAACTATAAGCTCTACTTTTTTTCTTTTACAGCAATATTGCTAATATGCATCTGTCCGAGCAGTTTATAGACTATTATAATTATTTTGACACCATCAAGTTTAGTTGCTATAGGACACCTGTTTCTTAAAATAGGAAGCTAACGGTTAACTTGTTAAATCCAGTTGTGACCAGTAAAGATTTTCTTTTCAAAGTAGGTGGTGCGGCTTATACAGTATGCCCTTAGTCCAGAAAGTAGGGTAAGTATAATGGTTGTCAGAAAAATTGCACCCACACAATTGGATGCTGCAGTCCTCAGATGCTAGAAAGACGGCTCTAAACACAATACTCTTTGAAGTGTTTGTGTTGCTTCCCCTGCAGCTCTCAGTGGCACCGGCTCAAGATACATGATCTTATTATAGTGATATCGTAAAAGGCTAAAGAGACAGTAGTAAGAACAGTCGGTGCTTTAAAGGCCAGTGCATGTGACTGTCAGGGTGAAGCATGTGGCGAGGTCTCTTTATTAAAGCCGTGGACATGAGACAAAAGCGTTACTCATGTGAACCTCCTCTGACACCCTGCTAACCCAACTGTTGTTTATCATTGTATTGAAATGATGAACAAAGAACACTGCCAACTTGACCTCATATCTGTGCAATATTCTGTACTGACGTCAGAATGTGAACTATAGAACCCCATGTGTCACTGTGTCCCAGAGTCTCATGCTGCCACTATATTTTTTGTACTAGAATATACAGGACTTTATAGCTGCTTCAATATTTTTCTAAAGTTGGATATTTCAGGCTTGCGTTCCTTAGTGCGCTAGAGTTTTGTACTTCATTATGCTAAAATGAACGAACAAAGTTAAAATGGTGCATTTTGCAACAACAACAAAAATCTCTTGTCAAAATGCTAAATGTTGATGCCAGTGGTGGTCCTGTTACTATGGGTTGAGGGGGGGTAGGAGGGGGAGAGGAGGGAGAGGAGGAGGAGAAGAGGGCAAAGGCAGGGGAGATGACAGGGAGAGGTGGGGAAGAGGAGGGGAGAGGGAGAGGAGGGGAGAGGAGGTCAGTGTGCATAATGCTGCAGACTCCATGTTAAGCTTGTAGCAGAATGAAAGTTTAGTCGGTTACTTTTAGATTCAGTTTTACTTTTCCCTGTCATGATGAAAGTTTGTTACAGTAGAAGAAAACACACTGCTGCCAAAACAGACGCAGGCACATTCAGAGTCATGCCCAAGCCAGAGCTAAGCGGCCATTACTTTAGGATACTTTTATACTGGTGACTCTGGAGAGAGAGACACATATCGACAGGCAGATTTGTGTGAGATCCGTGCATTTGCATTCCACACCAGGCAAACATGAGTAACCTTAGATTCAGCCGAGAAGAAGATCTGCTTTTGGGTGATGGCGCTGAGCCTAAGCAGACACTGGGGAGAGGGAGGAGAGTCACATGAGGCCCGCGGTGGATCAGCACGACACAGGGGAGACTCGGACTACATGCTTTCTTTGTCTCCTTTGTTCGCAGACTGCAAACCGTGTAGGTGAGCGACGTGTTGTTGAGAAATGTCATCAGTGAGAAACGTATTGGATTCGTCTCAGGAGGTAGGTCATAAAGAATCAAGTGGAGCGAGAGATTTGGGTTTCAAGATTTGCCTGAATCAAAGCAGCAGTACGTAACATTCAATAAGGCCCATGAAAGTAAGTAAGTAAGTAATATTTTATTAAATAGCGCATGTCACCCAAAGCGATTTACAAAGTTCAGAGTTTAGATATTGTTCCATTCTTTCCACACAGTGATGACGGAAGTGAGACGCCGAACACACTGTGGCATCATCACTCATTCAGACCTATTGTACCTGTTTTTAGTAGTAGGGTAAACAGGAGCACCTGAAGGAAACCTACACAGACACAGGGAGAACATGCAAACTCCACACAGGACTGCCTGGAGGTGGAATCGAACAAGCTCTGGGCAACACAATGGCTGAGTGATTAGTTCAGGTCGATTATGATTTTTCGGGCTTAGGCCCTTCATCAGAGGATAGTTTAGGCCTATCATCTGTGGACACTTATGAAAGGTGTTCATGTCATTTCAAATCAAAATACTTCATACGTTTCTCTTAAAACCAGATGCAGTGGTCAGTGGAGCCAGAGCCAGGATGTTAACGAACAGGGAAAACTACTAACTATAATGTGAGACAATACAATGTCATCGGGAACGAGTCATTTAAAGTAATCTACAAATGTGTTCAAACCAAATAATTACGTACTGCAGCTTTAACTTTACTAAGAAGGTTTGAGGACGGCAATACATTTATATATTTATACATTTATATCAGCAAAGCAAAGTCCAAGTTCTTCTGTAATAAATCTTTTATGATTCTGGAATTAAAAGGCGTTGAGGCAACTCATTGTAAACATGTCCAAACGTGGGATGTGCTTTACTTTCTACAACAGGCTGAGGCAAAGGAGGAAAGAAAGCAAGAGACGACAGACAGACAATTCACATTGTAACCGACTGCTGCTGGTTACAAAGAGATGGAGATGAACAAAGCAGATCTGGCTGATAACACTTTTCTATCAGTCACAAAAGGGTCAAACAGAATAATACAACATTCTGTAATACAGGGTAGATCAGTGGTACCCTGTGTACCTGTGAACTCTCGACAGTGTAGACAGGACACAAGTACCCCTGATATTACAGGGGGAAACATCTTTCACTAGTGGTGGGGATTGTAAAAAAAAGTGAGGATTCGATAGCATTGCAATATTTGGGCCACAATTCAATATTATTCTGATTCTTAACATATTGCAATACAAGTAATTGTGATTCGATTCTTTGATACTGTATATTGCAATTTTTGTCTCTTTTATTCAAAGACATTACAAATATGGAGGAAAATAATAATCTTGTTTTCTGCAACATTGATTGTGGTCTGCACATGAACTGAAGCAAACACTTAAAGGGTAGTGCAAAAACGTTATCCTTGAACATTCAGGACCTTGTAACAGACAAGACATCATTAATCTCTGAATAGACACATTCACATGAAAAATATTGCAATTCTCAACAGAATCGATTTTTCCCATGCACCAGTATCTTTCCCTAATGGTTAAACTCAGTTTTTTTTCTTTCTTTACTGTTGTATCAAGGTCTCAACCATTTCTTTATGATTTCTTTTTAGCGCATCTCATTTTTAGTATCTGACTATTCTTTTCTTTTCCTGTTTTTTGCTCATTATGTAGGATGTTGAACCTCAAGTAATATTCCCATTTTGAATTCCATCTGCAACTTAATGAGCACATGACTGGTCTGAACCAAAACTGGATCAAAACTAAGACAGGCTTATTATTGCAGACTATTATCATTAATTACATTATAGATTCACATGGAATAAATTATATCGTTGTTGCCTCGATGTACAACATATCAACCTCTTACTACCAGTGCCAAGAAATCATTTAGAGTCCCCCCCTGTAATACCCTTGTAGCAGCCCTGGCAGCCCATGAACCCCTGGTTGGCAAACAATGGGTTTGATTATGAGAATATGTGAAACTGCTACAAGACGTTGAGTTTACAGGTGCCATATTACGCTTTTTGACTTTTCTCTGGTTTAAACATCATTACACTGCTACTTGGCCTCCTTATACATGCCCAGAGAGCATTTTTTCTCTTTCATTCTCGAGGCACAGAAACGACCTGATTCACTTTGTTATGTAGCACACTTTCACACGAAGTTTGTGCTCCAGATGCCCCGCCTCCAGGAGGTGATTGACAGGGGAGAGAAACCAAAACCGTGAATCAGCGCACAGCCTGTCTGAGCATATGGACCTGCTACCACTGTCTGTGTTCACTTCTATGCTGTAGTTATGCTATTGCAATAGCATCATGTCGTCTTGAAAATGCGTTTTTGGATGTAGGAACTAATAAGATTTTATTACTTTCCATTTGACATGGTTTAAACGTTAGGTACCCAAGCTTTAATACTAAAACTCCCAGAGCAGTCAATTTGATGCCTTTCCGTTTTGAAGGTGCAATTACTAGGAACCAGTTCTAGCTCTAATTAAAAGTGAGTAAAGGTAAAAAATAAATTTAAAAAAACTGGTGGAAAAATTTACTTTCTTTCCTCAACTCCACTGACCTGAATGGGAGCAGTCAAAACGACAACTCTGGGAGTTTGAGAGGCTTGTTTCTACTGCATCCACATCACACAGTCCTCACCCGTCTTCCCCAAATGCTGAAGTTGGATTGTTTTAAGCTAGCACACACAAACAGGAGGAAGACTATGCTAATGCTACTACACAAGCTAGCTCTGGTTCAAGGTTGATTTCGTTTAGACAGCAGATGAGGCTTGTGAACAATGGAACTGTAAAAACACAAGCAAGCACTCTGGGCCTGCGGAGGAACGGCTTAAAGCTGCGCAACATTCACAAAGGACCTATATTTACCCTGTTATGTAAGGGTTTAACAGACAAACATGTAGATCTCAGCCTTTTTATATATATATTTTATTTCTAAGTGATGGAGGTTATTTTGTGGAGATAATATAACAATTAGAACCTCTTTCCCGGCTGTTATAGACAGTGTTACTTGTATTACTTGATATTTAAAAGTTATGTGCTACTGCAATATTACTGTCTCTGATTTGTAAAGCATTACACTACAACTATATTACTTTGAAGTTTCTTTCTCCAAATGTATAAATACAAACTAAAATTAGCTTATGATGCTATTGAGTGATGTTGATAGAGCTTTTGGTTAGAACATAAACATAACTGCTCTATTCCACATCTTTGTCTCCAACAACCCCCGAATAATGGGAGTCTGTCCATCTGTAAAATGTACTATTGTCCAAGTAGTGCCTTCTGCTTCAGCCTCAGCCGTCTTCAACCAGAACAACACTTTGAGGCAAATACTACTGAAGCAGATGTGTTCTGCTGCTCATCTCACGGTGGCATTGAATAAAAACAAAATACTATTGAATTTCCTTGGTAATTGGACCTTTGTATGGAGTAAAATACTGCCCAGTTTTTTTCTGTTGACTAAGGCATGAGCCTATGAACCAGAGCCAGGGTGTAGTAGTCTCTAGGGGAAAATTCGTCTCTAGTCACTAGGACGTAAAGGTCGTCAAACAGCTATGGTTTACCTCCACGGGCTATAGCATGCAAAGACAAAAACACAAGAGAATATGTTAGTTTTCAGCCCAGTCACCATTCTCATACCGGTACTGAGCGGAGGCTGGGGGCAATTCACAACTCTGGAAAAAAGGGCTGCAGTTTTACACAAGACTAACCTCAAAACAGTATTTACGGTTTTACAACAACGCAACAACAAAGATAATAATTAAAAAACTGATACATCATGAACGCACATACCTGTTTCAGATGCTTCTTTAGCTCTCCAGCTTCAGGCTCAGGAAGTGGTGGTAATATCTCTGCGTTGGTCGGTGCAATGACCTGCACAAACACAACGGAAAAATTGATTATAAGTTGACGTAAACAATTAATGATTTCCCCAACAATGAGACCACTGACAAGTCCTTTGCACATTGAGATTTTAGAATTTTTTAACCATGAGACTTTGAGAGATAGTGGCAGACAACTTGTAAATAGAGCAAATAATGAATATTGATGACAGAAATATTGATAAGGACTTTTTACTTGTGTCATGCATCCTGTATCCTTTGAAGTTTGAAAAAGTTTTTTTTAGCCTCACCTAAAATATTCAACCGAGAATATGTTGTATCTTAAAGTGTGAGGTTCACTGACCCTGCTGCTGTCCAAATCCACCAGCCACACGTCGTCCGGCATTTTGAAGTCCGCTTTGTAGAGGAAGAAACTGGCCGGGACCCCAATTATGTACGGAGTGGGAGCGAGGAGGAGCTTTAAAAAATAAGCAAAACAAAACAGAAATCGGAATAAATCATCTGGATTCCCTCTTTCACTTCAAGTACTGTGATTAATGAGGCAACCAGTCTGTGCCAGCAGTCCCTAACACACACACAAGACTCATTCTAATGTGGGTGAAGTGTCTTGCCTAAGGACACAACCACAGTTTAGCACTTTATAGCCGCAGCCACCCCACTGTGGCACCTAGTGTACTAACCAGGCCCTGTCCTGCTTAGCCGCAGAAGTCTGACGGGATCTGGCTTTCCCCTGCAGGTATGGCCACAAGGAAACACTGGGTACAATATGTCAGACTCGTATACAGCCGTTTCATTAAATATGAATCAAGTGCAGAGCTCTGTTTCTATGGCAACAGGTTCAGACAGAATGAGCGGCAGGCGTCGTTTAGCCGCCAGAGAAAAACCCACTGGATTTTATGCAAGTTGATAAATTATTTCTATTAATTTCAAACCTGCAAAACACAATGTCACATATCTTTACACAAATACAGGTTTGAAACACTCAAAAGTTTTTGTTGGACTTTTTTTTTATTGCTTTATTTCATCTTCAGCGGTTGCAGCAGAGAAGTGCAATGAGATTCCTTTCCACATTTTTGTTTCATTTATTTTCAAAAATGATCAACTTGTGGAGGACATCTGATGCAAGGCAAGTTTATTTAGTAAGCACAGTTCATACAAAAGGCAACTCAAAGTGCTGAACAAAACAAGAAGGAAACAGTCACACAAGACATTAAAATAATAAACAATCACAGAATATTAAAAAGAGTGAAGATAAAACCCCTCAGAAACAGAAACAGAACTGTTTTTAGACCTGGATTTGAACATTTTCAGAGAAGAGGCCTGTCTCACATTTTCAAGAAGATCGTTCCAGATTATAGCTGCATAAAATTGAAATGCAGCCTCTCCATATTTAGTCCTGACTCTGGGACCAGCCGGAGGCCAGTTCCTGTGCTCCTCAGAGTTGGTTCGTTGGTACTAACATTTCACAGATATAAGTATCAGAGGTACGTACCTGTTCTGCTGAGGCCATGCATGTGGGAAGCAGAGGGATCACAGGGAACATGTATTCCAGAGGGTAGATCATGGCAGTAAAGGCCATCACACTCATGGACAGGGCGTTGTAGTCTCTGGACTGAAGAATCACCTGATGGAGACAGAAGGCTGCGTGGTCACAGCTGCTCATGGTAAATAAAAGGTAACGTTGTGGCTTTATCCTACAGTATATTTTCCCCGGAAAAAATAGATTTGTTAGTGCAACGCGTTCCTGGATTATTCAAAAAGAACTGTGAGTCTGTGTGGACGTCTCATGTTGTAGTTAATTCCAGGCTTTTAGAAGCATTTCAATCCGATCTGAGCGTCAAGTGTGGACACTAATGGAGGATATTATGTTTCAGCGTCTTCTTCGCCATAAAGACAAAAGCAAAGGTTTGACTTATTGTCGACAGAAACAGTGAGAACCGTACATTTATATAGCGCCCTTCACAGACCAGAGACACGAAGGGCAAATGTTGTGGGAATCTGTCTCTAACTCCACACAGAGATGGAGCAGGAGCAAGAGATGGAACTATTTAATTTTAAACACTTAGGTGGTGCTGGAAAATATTTGTTAAGCACTGCATTGTTATACATCTGTTTTATTATTTTTTATTCATGAGAGTTATTTATAAGTTAGCTCTTGGGCAAAATAAATGTTTTTGTTAAATTTGTAAAAAAGTTGTATTTCTTGTTGAGCACTTCAAATCTGAGTTAGATTTCCAAGTTTGAATTACTGTAAAAAAGTTTTTTTTACAGAAAAAGCCAATATTACTGTATCGATATATTGTTCAAAATCTACTGTATCGTATCAAATTGTATCGTTTTAAAAATTAAGATATCTTTTTTTTTTTTTTTTTATCGTTTGCTCTCATATCGATACGGATTGTATCGTTTTAATCTGGGGAAATTAAATCAATGAAATCTTTGCCGATTACCAAAGTCTTGCAAGACATAGAAATCTGATTTAATCGGCAAATGGATAAATGGGTCACTAAAGACCGGCAACATGAATGGAAACAAATGTGATATTCTGAATCATTACACTCCTGGTGTATACCATAAAAACAGTCTCTTCTCTTGTCATGAGCAGTGTGACTTGTGGTGAAAGCTACAGAGTAATCAACTGAAGGTAAATCCTAAAAGGCAACAGTCTCACCTTGTGCTCGAGCAGGATGCAGCTGAGCACCTGCAGACAGGCATCCACCCCCAGCAGCTCTAGGGGCAGGTGCAGCGGGAAGTCCACCATGGAGAAGCGAGAGTTGTCAGGCAGAGCGAAGGTCAGGGCCCGTTTCAGCTCAAGGGGTAGCACCTCCACGTCCACACGCCTCTGTCCCGCCACCGGCACCGGCGAGCGCAGCAGGCGGTAGATCCACGACTCGATGTCTCGCAGGTCGCAGAGGAGCTGGCTGCTTTTCTCTTCAGAGGAGAGAGCGCCAGTGAAGACCCGCCACATGGTGTCTCTGCAGAAGCAAGAGGAACGCGAGGATGACACAAACACACAATATACAATTCATCCATCCATTTTCTTCCCCTTAATCCATTTCTTCTTCAGGGGGGGGGGGGGGGGGAGTGACAGTCAGAGTTGCACCCAATTCACAGAGCACCAGCCCCTCACTGATCCACCTGCGGGTGGTGAATCTCATGGGGGGGATCAATCACAGGCTCAAAGGCCAATGCCTTTGATCCTGGGTTTTAATTTTATTTACATGTATTTTTGTATAGCCCTAAATTACAACAGTAGTTTTCTCTGAGGACTTTACAAAGCTGTCAATTTGCCAACATAGATCAGAGAACCAAACAATTCAAACACAGGAAATGCAGTGATAAAACATGCCATTGGTCCATAAGGGGCAGATGACCAATGTCCATAAATGTTGTTGAATGTTGAGTGTCCTGGATCATCACTGTCCTTAGACCCTCCTTCATTAGAGGAACAACTCTAAAAACCCAGTGGGAGAAATGTGACAAACCTCATGGGAGTCCTAATTTTTGGATGCATGCGGTTGAAAAAACAACACAGACGAACGTGCCAATTGGCATCACTCTGGGCCGATGGATGGATACCCAGCCCTTGAAAAGCCAGTCTTCTGCTTATCTGTTGAACTAATCGTCCATTTAAGAGACTCTTGTGTTGAGTGAGAAGTGAAAGATTGATGAGACACATATGGATTCATTAAAGCCTTTTGAATGTTTTCCCAGAGTGTGGTTGAATCATTAGTCCTGGAACCTCCCACCAGTTGCAGACCTCAATCTGTCAGAGCTGCTGTGTTCCCATCAATCTGCTCACCCCACAGACACTGGACACTGAGCTTTCAAACCAACATTACACTTCATCCATTCAAATATTGAATCAATGATTTTCTTCCACCACTGAAGTTAGCGTTACATACAATATTCAGTAAGATGTAACCGCAATATGCATTTTAGCTGCATAAAATGTATTTAGCTCAACATATTGCTGTCACTAGATAATGCACTGTTACTTCACTTGTAGCTTTCTTGTTGCTGTTCTTTGAATAGAAATAATAACTATTCCTACAATTACAAATATAAGGCACTCAAAATCAACTTATAGAAGAAATATTATGCTTTAGTTTTGGCATTTCAAATCAATAATGGACAAATACTCATTTTATGGTGTAGAAAGGTAAATAGAAAATATATAGGAGGTACAAGCATCAAAGAAAGATAAACGATACTGTAAGTCCCCTCCTTTTGCTACCACTAGAGGGAGCGGGAGAATCAATCAATCAATCAAATTTTATTTATAAACCGCTTTTCATACAAAAAGTGTAACACAAAGTGCTTTACAATTTAGTTAAAAACAATCCAACATGCCCAGCCCTAAACCCTCCTCCCCACAGACCCCCCAAAACCACATTTATAATTATATATACAACCACATGCATATACACACACACACATATACACACACACACACACACATACACAAGTATAAAGTCATATCAGGTAAAATAGGTAAAACAATAAAAAGAAATGGGGCTGGGAGCAGATGTAACCGGCTGAAGAAGCGCCATCCAAGGAGCCATCTGCACCAGGAGTAGAGAGCCGGCTGCAGCCACAGGGAACGACACAGGACCCAGAGGAGAGAGGGGCCCCAGACCCCACCAGGCCCCGGACTCAGACCCCATAGGACCCAGAGGAGAGAGGAGGCCCCAGACCCCCACCGGATCCAAGAGCCAGACCCCCGAAGCCACAGCAGACCCCAGCTCTCAGTGCAGAGGGCTCCTCCAGAGGAAACACTGGGGACACTAAAACAATACAATAATACAATAGAAAGTAGAACAATAAAATGTGACAATAAAAAGAAAAATGGCAGCTGCCTAATATTGATAATAACAATAGTAAATGGGTAGATACAATAAATAATTAAAAATAGTAAATAATAAAAATATAATGTGTCTAAAAACATAAATAGATGTACTAAAAAGCAATAATAAATAATAAATACTAATCAAAAGCTACTCTAAAAAGGTGCGTCTTGAGCCTACTCTTAAAAATATGAACGTTCTCTGCGGCCCTGAGCTCCTCCGGCAGAATGTCACCAGAGAAATTGCCAAAACTAATTTAGGGGCAATATTTTTGTTTTATAAGGCAAAAAAACTGCTGTATGTGTGACGTCAGTGGTCATAGTGGTACAATGACATGAAACTATCACAGGACTAAGACAGGAGCTTTTAGAGAGAAGGGGCCAAGTTCTATATTTGAGCATAACATGGATCCACAATGGATCTAAAAACAACTCCAGGTCTGTTTGTGATGAGGGAGTAATGTAGTGACATGGTTAAGACAATAACACTCCGCCATAAGCATTATCATGAGTCACAGCGGTACGTTATCCCTCACGCTGGAGGACGTGCAGTCTGACACATAGGTCATCGCAGCGGTCATCGCGAGGCAAGTTTAATTGTATAGCACAGTTCATACACAAGGCAGCTTAAAGTGATCAACAAAACAAAAAAGAAAACAATCACACATGGCAATAAAATCATAAGTAATCACAGAACATTAAAAAGATAAAATCCCTCAGTTGTTTGTACCGCTAAACAGAACTGTTTTTAACCTGGTTCTTGTCAGGACTCGAGCTGCAGCATTTGGAAAAAGCTGCAACAAACACCGTTTAAAGCAGCGGGAGCATGTGGAACATCCAAAGCCAATACACTTGTCCTCGTTTGTGAGCTCAACACTTGTTTGACTTGAGATCTGCAGGTAAATATGAGGGGCCGACCCGTGGGAGGGAGTGAACTATTGAATTGAGGCTATTATTATCACAAGCGGCGTCTCCGTGAGTCACCTCCCACCGCCGCTTCAACGCCCCAGTGTTCCACATGACCTCTGAGTCACAAATGGATCGCAGCTAAACGTGTGAAGAACATGGGAATGAGAATACACGGGTGCTATCTGTGTGAGCCTGAAAAAGTAATGTCAAAGAACTAAAGACCATTTAGAAAAGGTGTTCAAATATTTGTTTTAATTTTGACCTTGTAGTAGTAGTAGTAGTTTGAACCGTTTGATTCTCTGATCTGTGTTTGCCAATCGACAGCTTTGAGATAACTATTGTTGTGACTTAGAGCGATACACAAATAAATATTGAGTAGCAGTAGTATTGAACGCAGTCGAACAGCAGACTCAAGAATCAAGATAGAGCAAAGAACGAAAAGGGCCCATTCGTCTAAAAGTCATTGTTTTAGACTCTTATTCGCAATCATTGAGGAGTAGAGAAAATTATTAGTTAAAGACCTTATGACGGGTTTTTTAAAAAAAAATAGTGGATATCAAAATTGCATGACAATGTCAATTTGAAAGAGATTCCGGCAAAAAAAATCCTATATTTTATAAAAAAAACGTGTTTTTCATGAATTTAAGTTGTCTATGCTCTAACCTGTGTGTGACGTCATAGCGGGTTTCGCCCATGCATTGAAAACCATGGATCTATGCCACAGGACTGCCTTTTCTCTCTTCTCTCCACTGATGCCCAACACAATACTGCACTCTACAGGTGACAATTGCTCATTACACATAAATTGCCGTTTTGAGTGTGAAAAAGTGTCCTAGGTGGGATTTGAACCCAAGTATCTGGATTGGCAGTCCATCGACATAACCACTGGACTATCTCAGTGACAACGAAATGATACAATCTAGTAGTTATCTCACACTCGCTGTACACGGCCTTGTCATCTTGAATATCCGCGAAAAAAGAACGAATACCAAATTGTAAACAACTTACAGCGTTGAAACGTACCCGTTCTGACGTCACCAAGGGCTGTGAAGTTTTTTCGTTTCTAAGGGCGTTGCCATGGGGTTATTTCGATTTGGGGGGATCAGACAAAAAAAACAACAACTGATTTTGAAACCTTTAGTAGTTCTCTTCTAATATAAAATGGTATTAAAACTGTATTTCTAAATAAATCAAACCCGTCATAAGGTCTTTAAGCATTAGCCAAAGAATGAAGAAATCACACACATCCTTAAAAGGTCTATATATTACGCTTTTTGACTTTTCTCTGCTTTAAACATGATTACCGTGCTTTTTGGCCTTCATACAAATGCCCAGAGTAGTTTTTTCATTGATTCTGTCAATCTTTAGTGAGAGAGCGATCTGTCTCCTTCACCCTCCAGAGGCAGTGAAACGCCCGGGTCCACATCTGTGACGATTAACACTCTGATGACGGATATGACGTGCATAAGCCTGTTTTCTTTCGTATTTATAATGGTTTTTAAATACTGTCATCAAAACAGGGAAAACAAAACACAATAAGTATTCTGTTTGTTCAAGTTCAAGTTCAAGTTGTCTTTATTGTCCCACTAGGGGAAATTGGTTTTGCAGCATAAATCATCTAAAAAAACAGGCAGATACAGTAAAATCACAACATTGAGAAAAACAAGAACAAAAGAGAATGTCACAAAAACAAATTTTCAGCGCAAAGGTTTGTAAAAGTGCTATGTGCTGTTAAGGTGCTTCACAGCTGTTGGGATAAATGTAGTTCCCAACCGTTTTGTCCTACAGCCAAGAGCCCTATAGCGTCGTCCTGAGGGTAAAAGTTCAAACTGCTCCCTCAGGGGGTGGTCCAAAGAACCAATGATAGAATTGGCCTTCCTCAGCACCTGCTTACTGTACAGGTCTTTGGGCTGAGCCTGTGTTCTCCCTGACACCTTACTAGCCACTTTAACCAGACTGCCAAGTCTGTTTTTGTTTGCTTGGGATAGGCTTCCAAACCATGCAGTGATACAAAATGTAAACACAGATTCAATAAAAGAACGATAAAACAAGGTCATCATTTCTGACGACACCTTAAAAGTGTTCATGCGCCTAAGAAAGTACATTCTCTGCTGCACTTTCTTACAGACTGCATCGACCAAGGGTTCAAAGCCCAGCCTGTGGTCCACAATAACCCCCAGATACCTGTACTGCTCCACAACCTCAACATCCAT